TTGAAAACCTTGCATTGATCAAGATGGATAAGGAAGATTTTTAAAACACACATATCTGTACATTAAACATTTTCCTTGCCTTATTTCGGATATGTGGCACATGTGCCTATTTTCCATAACTTTTTACTTATTCACATTTCCAAATGTGAATATGCCCATTTTCCATAGCTTTGAAAAATTGGCTTTAGTATAGTCACAGATAGACATTCTCAACAGGTGAGGCGTGAAAGGTGACATGATTTTAAAACTTCAGTGCATATCCTAAAGAAAGAAACATATCCAATGATACATTCCATCTTCTACTGAAGGCTTCAATCAAATCATGTATTGTCATCATCAACTTTATTTATACCCCCGCCTTTCTCCCCGTGAGGACTCAAGGCTAACAATCCCACATTATAGTCAAAGTTTAAAAAGAGAAATACGAAAGTTAAAAAAACAATTAAATATTACAGTGTGGTAAAAACAGATTAAAATATAATAAATACACTTAAAGTAGCCTTTTAAATTCACAATGTACCTCTTGAGGTGTCTTCAAAACACCTGCATAAATAATAAACTGTTATATATATAGAAGTTATAGAACAGACCAATGGCAGCAAGGGGAAGGAGTTTAAGGGCCCTTTCAGGCAGGCCCTATATCCCAGGATCTGATCCCAAGTTTTCTGTTTAACCCGGATTATCTGGCAGTGTGGACTCATATAATCCAGTTTAAAGCTGAAACACTTGGGTTCAGATCCTGGGATATAGGGCCTGTCTGGAAGGGTCCTAACCTTCCCTGCATATGTTTCGCTTCACATATATCCCTCCTCTCCAATATGGTACGGAAAGGAAGGCTTGATCGACATGGAGAGGGAATGAAAGGAATGACAGCAACTGGAAAATACCAGCTGGCTTCACTCAACATGTCAGCCATCCAGGTGCTATCTGTGTCTTGTGATCTTAAGGTCAATACCCTTTGGGCAAATCATTCCTATAAAGCAAAATGTTTTCTGGCAAGGAATCACTAAATATTGTGTTTACATGCCTATTCTGAAACAATGGTTTACCTTGGGGCCATTATGTTTTGTTTTATCTGAATCTGATGTTAATCCTTGAAGTTCATTGGGAGTTTGAGGAAGCTTTATGCAAACAACTATTTAATCTTAAATTATGTCACAAGGTTAGTAGGAAGATAAAAAGAGATTGTGTGAATTTTGTTCACAGGATGCTCCAGTTGATATAATCGGCATTTTTTTTTGCAGAACTTGTAAAGCTACTTTTACATACTATTTAATTTTAGCTATAGTTCCAAGCCTGAAAAGAATTAGTTATTGTCATTGCTACAATTTTTGAAAGTATCTTTCCTATCTCTTGACATTAACTAAATGTTCTGAACTGCTTCAAAATTCATCTGGACTCCAAAACCCACTGGCTTGTGGGACTAACATACTCCCCTGTCCAAATTGTCATTGTAGAGGAAACAGCATGAGGCCATATTCTTCTCTTGATACTTAGTAAAGCCATCTGTAGCAGTAAAAGTAATAAAAATGATAGCTGCTCTACCAATTTTGACTATCTGTTTTTTACTGCTCTTTGTTTCCCAGTCCTCACATGGACAAATGTGGCTTTTGACTACACTAATAGCCTGCTAGTGAAATAATCTGAATGGACAACAGTAAAACATCTTAAGACAAAATGTAGGCTAGTGACTTTCTTGTGTCATTTTTCCTTCTCCTGTATGATTTTACCAGATATGTTTTTTTGTTGACCCTATAAATATATACCAGTAATTGTATATTTTGGATTTAGTTCTAATCTGGAGTGGTTAACAAGATACCTATAATTACTTCCAAATTCCAAATGTTTGATTCATCTCTTCTTTCTTCACAGTTCCTAAAAATATGCTTTGGAGGTTTTGAAAATGTGTGGGACAATGTGGGAAGTGGGCAGATTTGGCATTTTTTTTAAAAAAAACCTCAATTCTACTCCCTTCTCTATTAATATGGATTAAATAAAACTCAAATAATTTGAATTATTCAATAAAATAACAGCAGCAACAGCAGCAGTAGCAACAAAAGGCCAAAACACTGACTGGTAGACTCAAAGACCTGAAAAAAGAGCATTCCTTTCATCTCTTGGGAGTCAGAAAATGGATCATAACGTAAAAACTTCCTGATGATGATCAGTATCAAATGCAAGTTTAGAGCATCTTCTTTGTGTTGTTTTTTTTTTTAATTTGAAGAAAGGGGCAAGTGTGTCTACAGCTTCTTGTTCCCTTGTTCACTTACCAAAGCCACTATCAATTGGCTTTGAACTTCCTTAGTTGAATCAATCCTTCTGTATTCTAGGGCTCTTCCAGACAGGCCCTATATCCCAAGATCTGCTCCCAGCTTTTCTGTTTATCCCAAATTATCTGGCAGTGTGGACTCATATCCAGTTTAAAATTTAAAAAAAAACAAACAAACCTGGGATCAGATTCTGGGATACAGAGCCTGTCTGGAAGGGCTCGTAGTTTCCCTCTTCAGTGGGACATCTTTGTGAGCCAAACTTAATTTGAAACCTAGTAGAATATCACAGTTCTGCTAGGCCTGGAGATTTTTGCAGAGAAAGCTTTTAGCTTTTAGCTTTTAGCCCTCTTTGTTCTGAGGGAAGAATATGAAGGACTAGATCTGCTTATATTACTACCAGATCTGTTTCTGACAAGGAGGCCGGCTCAGGCAGTGCTGGCAGGTCCCGGGTCAGTAGCCCAGATCTCCTTCAAATGTCTGGAAGAGCCCATAGTTTCCCTCTTTTCTTAGTACCTTCAACTTCACTATGAACAGGAAAAACTCTACCCAACAAGCCTTGTGAGCTCTCGAGTAATACTGTTGGGATGATGGAAACAGGATTTCAGGAGTTCTGCTATTTAGGATATAGAGGAAAGGTCACAGAACATCCGATTCTTTCTCAAAAAGAACAAAAGAAGAACGTCATATCTTTTCAAGGTTTAGTAATCAGTCCCTTTGATACATTTCTAACCATTAGTTTTGTTCTCAAGTAAGGATTGTCCATCTCTTGTGAAAACAGTTGCCTCTTCACAAAAACCTGCATTGTACTCTTGGTGGCAGTCCTTTAGAAATAGCCACACACTGGAAAACATTGTCTCAATTAAATATCTAGGCTTTGCTCAATTACATGCAAACTGATACTACGGCACTTTATGAAAAACCTTCTGGCTAAATAAGTATGTCAACAGTTCCAGACAGAATAAATCAGTGTATTTATTTATTTATTTTATTTAGCGCATTTCTACCCCGCCCTTCTCAACCCCCGTGAGGGGACTCAAGGCGGCTTACAAAAGGCACAATTCGATGCCAACACAAACAATAAGATAAAAACATATATCAACAGAAATTATAAAACAATTAAAACAATCAATTATACATCACAATCCATAAAACCAGTCTAATGCTCAACGTTCACCAGCTCAGAGTCCGTAAATTCATTCCACATTGTCAAATCAATTCTAGTCGTCATTGTCCTTTGTCAATCTGCCAGAGTACCCATGGAGACATGGTTTATATTGGGTTGTTGTAGGTTTTTCGGGCTATATGGCCATGTTCTAGAAGTATTCTCTCCTGACGTTTCACCTGCATCTATGGACCTCACAACCTCTGAGGATGCCTGCCATAGATGCAGGCGAAATGTCAGGAGAGAATGCTTCTAGAACATGGTGTTTTGGCCTACAGTTTATGAGCTGTAAGGATTTCTGGGAGTTGGAGGCCTAAACATCTGGGGACCCACAGGTTGAGAATCACTGTATTAGGGCCTTTCCTAAACTAAAATTCTGAGACATTCCCAGGGTGTGGGGTGTGTACATAGTGCTTGTTCATAGTGCTTGTCCAATTCATAGCAAGTTCATTGAAAAGTCATCTGAAACTGAGTAAAAGATCATTGCAGTCTCCATTGCTGGCACCTAAGGGGGCATTCTAAACTTCATTTTGGGGTCCTGGTTTTCAGCAACATGAGAATAAGAGGAAAGTGGGAGGAGGAGGAAGATACCAGGAGGTGCATCAACACTGTAGAATACAGTTCCATACTACTTTAACTGAACCCCCAATGTCACAATGGACTAAACCTTTGTGCCGGTTGAACCGCTGACTGAAAGATGGGTGATTCAAATCTGGGGAGCAGGGTGAGCTCCCATCTGTCAGCTCCAGCTGCCCATGCGGGGACATGAGAGAAGCCTCCCACAGGATGGTAACACATCCGGGCAATGTCCCTGGGCAATGTCCCTGCAGACAGCCAATTCTCTCACAACAGAAGCAACTTGCAGTTTGGGTTGTTGTAGGTTTTTCGGGCTACATGGCCACGTTCTAAGAGCATTCTCTCCTGGCGTTTCGCCTGCATCTATGGCAAGCATCCTCAGAGGTAGTAAGGTCTTGTAGTTTCTCAAGTCGTTCCTGACACGAAAAAAACCTACTTTAATTTCCATTTCCCAATGCTATGGACTCGAGAGAGTTGTAGTTTTGCAAGACCTTCCCTGCCAAGAGGTGCTGGTGCCTCACCAAATTACACCTCCCTTGATTCCATAGCATTGAGCCATGCTAACAGTCAAAGTGTTGCCAACCACTTCTGGGACATTATAAAAGCAGTTGAAGGTCAATGACAAAGGATTACTTCACATTGTTCCTGCCAGATTAGGATATTGGAAGAGTGGTCGTGGGGAAGAGATATCAGAGGAAGCAAACCACCCCTAATCATGCCTTTCCTAAGAAAACCCTATTAGAATACCCCTATGTGACGTCACGGACCGGCTCTCTCGTGATTGGCTAAGACGCTCTCGGACGCTGGGAGGTAAACGCGCTTCGCGTTCTATTGTCAGGGCCACAGGCTCTCGCAAACCACAGGCCTCTCCGCGCATGCTCAGGAGACGCCTTCCGCGCGCTCCACGACCCACTCTTTCCGCTCTTCTCGGTGCCCTGGCCTCGCCTACTCTCCTCCCCCTCCCCCTCACGCTTCTCTGGGGCTTGAGGCGGCGCTTCCTCCTTAGGCTCCGCCCCCTCTCCCTCCCTCTCTGGCCCCGTGAGCGTTTTCTGAAGAGAAGGAGCCGAGCGAAGGTGAAGGAGGCGTGAGGAAAGTGGCGGTTGCCAGCGCGAGGTATGAGACGACCGTTTCGCCCTGGGGGAGGGAGGGGGGAGCGGCGTTCCCTTGGCAACGGGGGGGGGAGAAGCTTTGGTGTGGCCGTTACTCTGGCAACGTGGAGGGTGGGGGGCGAGGGGCAGCGTTGTCCTGGTAACAGGGCTGAGGGAGGGGTAACTTTGTGACGCCGCTTGGAGGGATCCCCTCTCGTCCTCATCTATGTATATATCAAAGTAGGCGCGTGTAGGTTTGTGTTTGGCTTGTCCTATGTATTTTTTTATTTTTATTTATTTACAGCATTTATATGCCGCCCTTCGCACCCCGAAAGGGACTCAGCGGCTTACAAGATATATGCATACATATATAATATCAGTATTATATATAACTATATTGTACTATACCGTTATATTGTAATATTAATATCCTACAAAGAGTCCTCAATGGCATGGTGGACCTGGCCCATTCTTGGCGGGCAGACTCTCCCTGTGTCAAGCCTGCAGGTCACTGAGGGGAGAAGGAAAGTGGATTTCAGAACCACTCCTTCTTTGGCTCCTTTTGGAGGCTTTTAAACAGAGACTGGATGGCCATCTATCAGGAGTGGTTTGAAAGCGATTTTCCTGCTTCTTGGCAGGGGATTGGACTGGATATCCCATGAGGTATCTTCCAACTCTAGGATTTTATGACTGTTGTTCGTCAATTTTTTTGGTTAATATCTGTATACACTAAAACTACTCCAAGCACACACAGAAAAAAATAGCTACTAAGCCCTGGTGGTGCAGCGGGTTTAACTGCTGAGCTGCTGAACTTACTGACTGAAAGGTTGGCGGTTCGAATTCAGGGAGTGGGGTGAGCTCCCACTGTTAGGCCCAGCTTCCACCAACCTAGCAATTTGGAAACAAGGAATGTGAGTAGATCAATAAGTACTGCATCGGCAGGAAGATAACTGCGCTCCATGAAATCGTGCTGACCACATTACCTTGGAGGCAGGCATGTAGGCAGGGGGGGGCTTGGAGGCTTCAGCCCCCCCCCCCCCCCCGAAATTCTCATGGTGGTTCACGAGAAGGCCTTACTGGTGCATTATTTAAACTGTTATGTTTATTCATATCATGATCTGATCACCATGCTCAATATATGCCATATGCATGGGTATTGGGGTAACAATACAAAAGGTTTGCTAGGGTAGACCCTCTTTGGCTCAGACTCAGCCCCCCCCCAATCAAACTCAGCCCCCCCCCCCCCCCCGAATCAATATCCTGGCTACAGGCCTGCTTGGAGGCATCTATGGACAACACCAGCTCTCCAGTTTAGATGAGCACCACCCCCCAGGGTCAGACACAATTAAACTTAATATCAAGGGGAAACCTTTATTTATTTATTTATTTATTACTTGCACTTATTGACTTATTGACTACTTCTGAGTAGGTGCCTTCAAGTTTCCTCAATCCGTGCCTTTTCATAGAGTTTGCTTTGCAAAGAGTACTGAGAAGGTGCTTTTGCCCAGTCCTTCCTTTGAAATGTATTTCCACAGCACCTGGTTTTTGTTGGCAGTCTCGGACCCACGTAGTAACCCGGGGCTGATAACGAAAAGAGAAAAATAGCAGGCATGAGCGTGTTACAAAATAAACGATTACTACATTACATAAACTACTAAACTATCTGGCAGCGATTTCCATCATCTTTTCTGTTTATTAGTTGAGTGGTTTTGCAGGAGTTTGGTACTTACAGGGTTAGCAACCACTGTAACTTGTATCTTTTACAAAGCAGCTCCACAGTTGGACTTGACGAGCTGATATCACTCCTTACCTGTATAAAGTAAAAAGACCTGGCGTGTTAAATTTCTGGACCTTTGATTGGTGTTAAAGGTATGAAAAGCAAGCCATTTTTTGTGTTTTTTGTTTAGCCTGGTTTGTTGGCATCTCTCATTTTTGGAAAGAAATCTTATTTTGCTGTTTTAACACAGTGTAACAGTTGGAAGAGTAGAGCTGTGGAGTGAGGGATCTGCTGAAGGTTAGTTGGCAGGAGACAGTCGTTTGTCCTCTTAAGAGCAGGGAAATACTATTTTGGCATGCTAACATGCTGTTTTGTCATCTGCTAGCTGAATCTAAAAAGGCTGTGCCTTGAAAAGTGTGATGGTGCTGTAATCCCTGACAGACTTTGTAACCGGCAAGATTTGAAAATAACTGTATTCTTTCTCCCACCCTAGACATTACACAAATACTGTATATACTCGAGTATAAGCCAACCTGAATATATGACGAGGCGCCTAATTTTACCACAAAAAGCTGGGAAAACATATTGACTTGAGTATAAGCCGAGGGTGGGAAATGAAGCAGCTATTCGTAAATTTCAAAATAAAAATAGATACTAATAGAATTACATTAATTGAAGCATCAGTAGGTTAAATGTTTTTGAATATTTACATAAAACTGTAATTTAACATAAGACTGTACAACTCTGATTAAATCATTCTTCTAACCTGTATCATTCCAATTATCACCATAATTTATTTTAACTATACATTTTGAGGGAAATGCTGTGTGTATACAAATAGAAAAAAGTGGGAAAGACTGGTGCGGAGAGGAAGGAGAGCTGGGTTGCTGTGTGGAAAGGTGAGGGTCGTGGCAGGAAGGCATGGGGGTAAAAGAAGCCCTTCTTTCAACCCTACGCCTTCCTGCCAGAACCCTCATCCCCCTTGGCTTTTTCAGCCTAAAAAAGGGCTAAAAACTAGGCTTATACTCAAGTATATATAGTATATACAGTATATAAACCTCATTTGCCTAGTTTCCAACGGACCTCGCCATCTCTGAGGATGCCTGCCATACAGCCCAGAAAACTCACAGCGACCTAGTGATTCTGGCCATGATAGCCTTCGACAACACATCAACTGTATTACTTTAGCATACCATGCAACTGCATCAGTGACAAGTTTTCTAAGTAGCAGTACTCTAATTGATGAATCAGAAGGGACAAGTTGGTGCTCGTGCATGACCTGAAGGGATTAGATGATAATTTTTCAGTGGCATTGAGAAGAACTGCCCACTACATCTGCAGGACATTTCCTTTTTTGGTGGATGTTCACTTCCTTTAAAAAAATGATTGGAAGCAGTTGATTTCACAATGTTTATAGAATCATTGCCTAACTATGTTTCAAAAGTCATGACTTGATTCTTGTCTTTTCCATGTGACCCAGGTGAAGAGCTCCGTGTCATCTTAATTGCTGTCTAGATATTTGCAAGCTGATATCATGTACCAATTTAGCTCTTTTCTCTAAGCCAAACAAATGTGGGTCCTCCATCCTTTCCCCACATGTCATAAATTCCGAACTCCTTGCTGAATGTTGTTGTTGTAGGTGTTACTTTTCTGAGTGCTCCCTGAGACTGAGTCTGCCCTTCCCTTCAAGAAGTCCAACTACATGACAGATTTAAGAAGGATGCAAAAGTCGGATTTGCCTCTAATAAATCGGAGTTAGAAAGTATCTTCGAGAAGGGAAACAAAGGCCTAATATCCAGGCTCTACAAATATATTTTAGAATACAATTTAGTAGACAACCAAATAAAAACTGTTATGATCACATGGGCCAAAGATGTAGGTAGAAATATCGATTTGGAAGAGTGGGAACATCTTTGGAAAAAGGGGTTTAGATTTTCAGTGGCCAGCTCAATTAGAGAAAATATGTTTAAAATGTTTTACAGAGACTACATAACCCCAGTTACTAGCTAAAATAGAGAAAACAGGACGAGGGGCTCGCTGGAGATGCAAGAAGGTGAAGGGATCTTTTTTCCACGTATGGTGGACCTGCAACATAGTTAAAGAATTCTGGAAAAAAGTGGCGAAAGAAGCAAACAAACTGATTAGCAAAAAAAAAATCAAGAAAAACCCAGAAATGTGCTTATTAGGAATATTTAGAAGGTATATTAGCGCAGGAGATGAAGAAATTTGTCAGTCTTGTTTTGTCGCTGCGAGACTAATAATAGCTAAAACATGGAGGGGGGGGGAAGAGTTAACTATTAAGGATTGGAGAGATAAATGAGTAGATTATATCCAAATGGCCAAACTGACAAATAGCAGCAGAGGAGGAAATAATGAAAAATGTGTTTAAAAATTGAGGTTGGCAATTGGATATCTCGAAAAGAAGACAAAAGTAGATTTGAAGATTGCCATAAAGGGGATTTAGTGAAAAAAGACATGTGGGTAGTTGTGGGTTAGTTATGTGATCCATACGGAGTGGTGTTGGAGGTCATGGGGGTTGAGTTCACGGGTGTAGGGTTAGAGGGAAATAAATGTTAAGGTATAATAACTGTACAATCAAAGTTGATTTTTCATACGTTTAATGAGTGCTGACTGTATACCATTCTGTAAACTTGCATACTCTTTTGTATATATTTTTTTCTGTTTTTTTGTTTTGTTTTGTTTTCCTCTGATGTCGGTCTTGTTTTCTGTGTGCACCATAAACCAATAAAAATTAATTTTTAAAAAAGTCTGCATGCAATACACCTGAATTGCAACCAGTACCAGATCTGGTTCTGTTGCTTATGTCTTGCTGACAGAAACACTTTTATATGTTAAATGGCTTGGTGACTGACTTACTAAATACCATGTTGTTCTTTTGTCTGATAAACTACTACATTATTTTATTAGCTTGTCAAATGTTTTAAGAAATCCAATACTCAGCATCACCACATCTAACAATCAGATTGTAAAGGTGATCTACTCCAGTCTTTCGCTGATGCAAGAAATTCACTAATAACAGATGGTTATCCAGCCAGTTTTAAAAACCACTAATGAAGGAGAGTTCAGCGTTTTTAGATGCTGTCTTTTGTCATATACATTGTATGTATGATTTAAATATGTTTTAACTGTTTTGGTAATTTAAATTCGGTCTTCCTAGTCCCCCATGAGATGTAACTCCTTCCAGAAATCTTTCAACACAGACAATTGAACCAAGTTCCAAGAGTACAAGTCTTTCCCAACATCACAATCTCTGTTGCCAGCCGTTCGCTTCCAGTATTCTCTCTCTT